GCTGTGCCTGTTCCTAATAGGCTGTGCCTGTTCCTAATAGGCTGTGCCTGTCCTTAATAGACTGTGCCTGTTCCTAATAAGCTCTGCCTGTTCCTAATAGGCTGTGCCTCTTCCTATAAGCTCTGCCTGTTCCTAATAAGCTGTGCCTGTTCCTAATAAGCTGTGCCTGTTCCTAATTGGCTGTGCCTATTCCTAATAAGCTCTGCCTGTTCCTAATAGGCTGTGCCTGTTCCTAATCGGCTGTGCTTGTTGCTAATGTGCTTTGCCTGTCCCTAGTAAGCTGTGCCTGTTGCTAATTGGCTGTGCCTGTTCCTAATAGGCTGTGCCTGTTCCTAATAGGCTGTGCCTGTTCCTAATAAGCTGTGCCTGTTCCTAATAGGCTGTGCCTGTTCCTAATAAGCTGTGCCTGTTCCTATTTTGATGTCTGACTTTTTTTTGTGCCAGTTCCTATTTGGAACTGAATTTTGCCCCTGATCCTGCTTTATAGATTTTGCAGCCAACAGACCGACTGGCGCAGCGAATCGTCTGCGGCCACTGAAGCGTATCAACAGCGAAATTCTCTTTGTCGGAGCAGGCATAAGTACTGCTCCTCAGAAGGGTACAGTAAGTTAAGTTTGCCCTCTTCCCAGTCTACGCTCATTTTAAGTTTACGCAGTAGAGTTTCGGAACGACGAGAGGCGAAAAGAGAAACGCAGGTGATGCCGCCGCTTGTACTATTATTGATTAAATTCGTCCTATACTGGATAATTTTTCAAGTAAGTTTCTCTTTTAATCTGTTGGTCGCCAATTAGCGACTTAGGCCAGAATTTTAGTCGTTAAATATTTTTTTCACTCGCCATGGCGACCAAAATGGTCGGAGCTTGGAGCGCTGTCTTAAGTTGTAACAGTGACGTATCATAACCTTTCTTTTTACAGTGGAGCAATGTACTTCAGTGCATCAAACTGATGATTTCCCAGTTGGAAATGGACACAGCACAAACCTGGTGTGTTACAGCTTACTTATTTACTAACACATCAACCTCAATTTTTTAAGAGTCATTTTAGACTTACAAAGACTTGAAAGTTTAAGGACTTACATTGTCAAGAGCTGTTCACCTCTTGGAATTCTGGAAGTCTGGGACCAACTGTGATTCACTTAAGGATACGGTAGACCTTCGCGGGCCAAATTTTACCAAAAATCTTTTTTTTCACCCCAAATAAAGCATTACTATTTTAACTACAGTTTCGAACAAAAAAAAAATTTTGAAATATTGAAACGCACTCGAGTTATTAACAAAAACGTTTTTCGAACTGAATTCTCTGAGCCGCTAAAGTGTGAAAAGCTAATTATAATGTATCAACACAGATGACTCTCGTGATGCTTTTCGCTGCCGAAAATCTGGGGTAGTGTTAGCACAGGGGGCCCACACAAGCGGCATGTCTGGTCGTTTGTTCGAAATATAAAGACATGTATGGGAGAATATTGAAGAGTCGTAATATCGTAAACTTATATCAAGGAATGTCTATGTTAAGGCTCAAAATAAATGTTAACCTACCTCACTTGCTGTGTATTGTCGTTTCTGTGGTTCTAAATGGCGAATTTGAGCGATTTGGTAGATTTTGCGTTGACTGTTACTTTACTGTTTCTTATACAGTAAAGTAACAGTCACCGCAAAATCTACCAAATCGCTAAAATTCGCCATTTAGAGCCACAGAAACGACAATGCACAGCAAGTGAGGTAGGTTTATATTTATTTTGAGCCTTAACATGGACATTCCTTGCTATACGTTTACGATATATTACGACTCTTCAATATTCTCCCATACATTTCTTTATATTTCGAACAAACGACCAGACACGCCGCTTGTGTGGGCGCCCTGTGGTGTTAGTTGCATAAATATCTTCGTAAGTCAGTTACACGTGTGTATCGTAGCAGTTCGTGATATAATGAGAAGAGTGAAAAAAGGAAAAGAGCCTAGACGTAAGTAGCCTAGAAGTAAGAGCCAGACACTGAAGGAATTCGATGAAGAATGGCGAAAAAATCTCGCCAAAACGGACAAGGGCTCGCATCTCGGACTCCACCGCCTCCTCGGGGTCAGTACGGGTTGAACTTGACGGCGCCGCCGAAACTTTCTTACGGATTGACATGGAATTTTTTCTCTTCGCCGGCTTTCTGATACCCTGCGAGCAGAGGCCGTTTGATCTTCCTAGATTACCTCTGCTCGCAGGGTAGCTTTCCGAAGCTCTGGCACGCACTACTGCAGGATAGTTTCACGCGAAACGTAACATGTTCTTGTCGAGAGTCTCCTGGACTCCGCACCTGTGTTTCTATTGGCAGTCGGCATTTCGAGTTTTTCAGCGTGATGACATAACTTGACATATGGTTAACTAAAGGCATGAAATGTTGGAAAAACTTTGGAAGCGAAAAAAACCAATTTCGTTTTTACGCGAGTGTGTCTTATTTTGATGAATTGATAGGGTATGAAACCTTTACGGATTGACATGAAATTTGGTCGAAGGCTCCCAAGGTACCAATCTAAAAAATAGGTCCGCAATGCGTACCTGTGTGGCTTACGAAATTGAGCTGCTCTTTAGTGTCTGGTGTCTTATTGAGTTTCTATTGGAAGAGCTAATATCTGATTACAGTTAGATAGTTTTCAATATTGTTCCAGTTCATCAATAAAACAAGATAACTAGCATACAATATTCCTGAAATGTTCATTTTCAAGATAAGGGTTAACGGCCAAACTTTGTAATGGTGGTCTCAGTTTGACAACCAATACCGCAAGGATGCACATATAATCTGAGGATTTAAGGAACTAAAAAAGGTGTCAGCATCATCTTGTATGGTGGCCTGATAGATTCAGTCATGATTTTGTTTACGTAATGAAGTGGAATTGAGTTCTGAGGTTTGTAGGTTGATTGTCTTTTCCAAGGCAAGTGATGTGAAATTAACTCTAGGGAAATATTTCATATGAATATTTTTGGTATTTTGCGTACCAATACACGAGGACAAAACTTTCCAGGAGGGCTGGGATATTCGGGAAATGATTTAATTTACACTAGGAGCCGTTGGGAGCTTGATTTAGTTTGAATGTGTCTAACTTTTGGACAAAACATACATGTAAAGTAACACAGTGCTGAACGTAGGTTTCTTTCGTCCATTGGGGCACAAAGTTCTATTCTCAGTTGGTTGAGAGCAAATCATTTATTATAATTATTGTATTTGGGTTGTGTGGGACCGTGTTTTCAATAAAGAACACAGAAATTTTTAGTTGAGGTAGGTGGATACGGGGTTGTAAATGGAAGAATTTAGGGAAAAAAGATAGGTGCCTAACAAGATCTGAACGCAAGCAATATTTTAATGAATCATGTTTTAAGTAGTACTCTGAAGTAACATTACTTTAACATTGCTGATAATTTTTAACCCAATAAGATTTATAATTGACCTGGAGGTTTTATTTAACAGAAAGTTCAAGAGAGATAGTGTCACCATAATAGATTTCAGGAACAATAATCAGAGACATAACTTAAACACAACAGAGTTCAGTGTGCAGGCAAGCACATGAGGGGTATCATATGATTTAAGCACCAGAATCTGTCAAGTTTTCTTGTTATTGATATTGTTATTTCATACCAGACATGAAATGAATATGTGAACTTGACATCATGTGAATGGTCAACCTGACCTGCTATCAAAATTTGTTCTTTAGCTGAAATCTTACTCAGGAATGCAATTTTGTTAATGTTTATCAGTATATGTAAAAATATCCAAGCTTTTGTTTATTTTGGTCATCTACTATGTGTATCAATCAGCATAACCTACTTCATGTAAATCTGATTGGTTTCTAGTGGGATTTATTGTTGCTGAGCCTACCAGTAGTTTACATTTGTACTTGAGTTATTACTTTTGCACTAGTGACATGAAAAAGGCACCTAAATGTTTTCGGCCAGTCAAGGGTGTAATTCTTCATGCATATCAGTATTGTGATGAATTAACCAAAACCAAACAAGTAACTAAAAAAGGAGTCGTAGTCTACCAAATAAAGGCCTAAGACACGTGTATTGTTACCAAGTTTAAATATTAATGTTTATCTGAACCATTATGAAGAGAATTTACGTGGCTGCCAAGCTTACAGGAAGTCATGAATTGTTAAGGTCAGAATAATTGTGGACATTACTCAGAAAACATGATACTAATCACATTTCAGTTGTAACATTTAACTCGGGGGTTTCATTGAGGGGCGGGCACCGGGCAAATTGACCGACTGTGAAGACGACATTGCCCGGCTGCTTTTAACATCTCAAACCATAAGAAAAATATAAAAGTTACTTTCCTATGTTTTCCTATGATGTCTTCTAAAAAAATATATTTAAACTTATATAACATTAAGTGACTAGAAAGAAACACACATGGCTCGCTGCAACTCTGAGTTTCGTGCGTTAAGCACTCATCAGGCAGATTTAAATCTTCCTGATTAGTGGGGAGGGGCGTTGCGTGACGAGACGAAAAACGGCTGTGAGGGAGACTAGGCATATCTTTGCCCTTCACAAATGAGAGATTGAGGTCTTCAATGCTGTATATTAAAATAAATTAGCACATTGGATTCAGAAATCACCGGTTCACGGTTTGCCGCGGTAAATGTCTTCAGTAAAGCCAAAACAAAAAATAGCAGTACTTAGAATAAATTAGTTCTTCCATTTTTTATGAAATACACGAAGTTTATTTTCTCTAAGATTGTTATCTTAGTCGGCTAGCTCTTTCAACTGGTTGCCCAGCTCGTGACCAATTTCTTCCCCGCCGGCTCGAGTTTCAAGACGTATCATTACGCAAATGGTACAACNCCTATAGACCACTTTCATAAATGGCTGCCGGATTAATATTCTTTTGTTTAAATTTAAATTAGCCCTTCTGGCCTCGCTTGAGATAATGTATTCTTTTGAATTTTGTACTGGAGAACGAGGCTAGAAGGGCTAATTTAAATTTAAACAGAAGAATATTAATCCGGCAGCCATTTATGAAAGTGGTCTATAGGCTTTGTAGAAAATCATTTGTGAAAACCAAAACATCACATCATTCCACAGTTTGTGTTGTCCAACAACTTGTTTCAATACTGGCAAGTAAAATACATTTAAATAGAGCATCATAAGCATAAAACTCCAAAAATGATCCTTAATTAAAACGTGATAAGGCATCCTTTGTTTTCACGAAATTTTCATGAGAAGCCAATCCGTGACTGGTATTGTTCAATCGAGATTCCCATACTTACTTTTTTCGTTCTGAAATATGCCTCCACGAATTCTCAAGAGTGTAAGGAGAATGCAACTACAATACAGCGTACTTCACTTCATGGTACTTTCAGGGGGCTTTAGATACTTTCAATTACTTTTAAACACTTTCAGACACTCAGTAGTGCAACCCAAACCAATAGTTGTTGACTTGCACGAGTGTAATGACTCTTTTCAGTGAAGTACAACTGGTACCGAAGATTCAAGCTGTTAAATGTTGTCTTTTAAGAGCGAAAAAGCTCTTGCACAAGCTGCAGTTATAACACAAGCCGTGTCTGCGTGTGTTGGTTTGTGTGAGGAGCACTAACTCGTGATACGATCACCAGAAAAGTATTAATCTAGTCCACGCTCACAACCAAGATGGCTGACTCAGAATAGAGCGTCCTACGACAATAGACCACGTGACAGGCGCTTGAATCTCGTGGACAAATAAATAAATCAGATCGTGCCATAATGTGGCTACACAATTCGTGTAAGCCACACAAAAACCGTGAGAGGCTATTCCGTTTTTTTGAAATTGATCTCCCGCAATGGACTCCAACGTAACGCGTATTGGTAAAATTTTAATAACCAAACTTGACAGAAAGATTTCATAGCAACCAATCGGAATATCGAAAAAGCCCCACAAAGTTTTGGAGACTAGCCCCTTAAGATTGAAATTGTGCAGAAGTTTCACTTGTGCGGAAAGATTTGATGCCCGATTAATTCGCTAAAAGAAACATCGTCCGTTTCGACTCGTCGCGCCTTAGTCGGCTTACAATTAGATCAAGCTAACAGGAAAGAATTTTTGCCGGAAAGTACATTCAATTACCTTTCCATTGATATATAGTTTATGGTTACACTTTAAATAGCACGGTAACAATTTTTTTCGCGAAGGACACCCGCGAAGGTCTACAGTATCCTTAAATTTATTCGAGTCGTTGGGCTCTTAGAATGGGGTCATAGTCGGTTTTCTTACCAAAGGAGACTGTTTTATTTCAATGCGGTTTTTCTTTTAATACTCAGTGGTGTCTTTCTTGTATAAGAAGGGGACGAGCTAGGGCAGGCTGACCTGCAACAGGTAAACCGCACTAGAAGAGAGCCAAGGCATAAGGAACTGGTTAACAAGAGATGCCGAAAAAGTAGAGTCTTCCCTGATTTTGTTACTTTTCTGCTCTTCCAGGTTCAGTTCTCTTACCTGTTTCTTTTCTAATCTCTAATTCTCAGCACTGACTGGAAGACTCTCGAGTTTACAACTTCAGTGTGTTCAAAACTGGTGGAAATTTGCCTTTCAAAGTTGAAACTGGGAGATTACCTGGATGTCATCTGTCAAGCCATAAAACTTCTGTTTACAAGTATCTGCAGACAAAGACGTGAGGTTATTGAGGGTGTTCATCAAGATAAAAGACTGGAAAGCGAGGACAACTCCATAAGTCAACTTTTGAAGGATCTTAGAACCAGGATAGTGGACGATCTCCTACCTAGCATGTCCGTCTGCTACAGAAGTGAGCCCCTAGCAAGAGAACTTTTGGTATGTAAAAAGGAAGGAATTGTAGTGTAAGATTGGAACAAAAGGTCCAATCTCAAGTAATTGCATCGTTTCAATGGTCTCCGAAACTCATTAAACTGGTTTGTTAAATGCGTCAGTGTAGGCCAAGTTCAGGTAGATTGTGCATCGGAATCATCTCCAAGCCTAGGACGTTAACCCGCCATACAACTAACAGCAGCAGTTTGCAGCTACTAATCTTCCGTTAAACTAATTGATTGTTGATTATCCCTTTTTCTCGATATTTATTTCAACAATATTGGGCTACAGGAACCAATTCTGAAGGAGTTATCAGTATTCATAACAGGGTGTTTGCAATTTCTTTAATAGGTTTGGAGCGAGCTTCTTTCGATTGCAGATGAAAATCAAGGCTTTACCACCTACCGGAAATTCTTAATTGATCAGCTGTCCGACCGGGCAAGAAGGGTAGGTAAAGGAGTGACGTTCAGATTCACTTGACAGTGGAAAGTTTCACTAAGAGTACGCGGATCTCATGGTAGTTTAATCTTGGAGGTATCCTTTTGAAATGTAATGATTGTCTATAGGCAAAATGACCCTCACAGTTTAGATCCTAGTGATAGCCATGACTTGTGTTATCTCTGAGGAGCATTAATATTTTAACTATATATATATTTTTTGGATTGGAAACTAAAAGTTTGATTAAATAAACCGAAATACTGAGAATTTTCTTTAAGTTACCCGGATGCTCAAGCACATGGTTTTTGTGCTTACCAGTTCGGGGTCGTTATCAAATTTGATAACCCAGACAAAGACAAAACAGTAACCAATTGCTGCTTAGATTCACGTTCACGTGACCGGTTACTAAGGCAGCATTAATACATGGTGAATCGTTGGAAACCTGGGGTAATATGTGATAGTGTGGTTTGATTGTCCAGGTGAGTGTAATCTTGGGAAGGACTGTTGTCGGTAGTGGAAACTCACATTTCGACAACTTGAGCGAGACAGAAACATCGAGGAGCGCGTCCTTTCGACTTGCCGACAAACGATATCCTTTTGACGTATTCCACCAACTCCTGAACGGAGAAAACACTGACGTTCAGCTTACCAGAAAAATCGAAGAAAATGGTAAATTTCCTTTTCTAGACTGCTTGATAAGCCGTGACGACAACTCATTACGGAAAACAGTTTACGGGAAAAATACAGATTACTGGACGATTCAAAGCCACAACTATTAGGACTCTAACATGTCGAGCGCAACCAGTGTGCAACATGACAGACACCTTATCCAACGACAACCAATACCTCGGCCGTATCTTTTCCAAAGAACGACTTCCACAACAACTTCATCCGACGAAACACCCACAGACCTACTGCCACTACCGAAACAAACGACACCGTAACTCCTATGACTACGGCAACAATGCCGTACAAAAAGGCTTGTCTACACATCCTACAAGCCTTCAATATCCGCGTCGTCTACGAGCCTATCACCACTCTATGTCAGCCACTAACGAACGTCAAAGACAAGGACGAACCGAGGAACAGATAGCTTGGAGAATAGCTTCGCAATTTCGTATCCCGCTGAGTGAATGGTAATCCGTCAATATCAGCTCTCACGAGTTTTTTTTACTAGTTCCTTCAAATATCCAAATTTAGTGACAGGCCAGTGCAGTCTATTTCAGAAGTAAATTTCCCCAAAAGAGGAGCCACTGAACTTCGTTATTAAGAGTTTGGGAAGCTTGGCTGCTGAAGATAATCTTGGTTGTTCGACTGTTGCACGGCCACTTTCTCTTCTCCGTGGTTCTTCGCGAACTTTGCCTTTTGTTCCAGTAGTTTCCTTTCAAACTCCAGATTCTGTTTGCGGTTTTTGAACAGTTTGTTCTTTTTCTTCCTCGCTGTCGAGAGCCTTGATTGTTCTTTGGATCCTTGTCCCTCGTCCGCTTTCTCGAGATGTTTTTCGATTTCTTGGCTTTATGCTGCGACTTCTTGTTCGCTTTCTTCTTTCACGAATTTCTTCTCTTCAATCGTAGACTATACATTTGTACATCTTGTATAGAGATACTTAGGCAAGACTGCAGTTTCTTTCTGAATTACGTCGGTTGCATCCTAAGAACGAATTCGTGGCGTAGGAATAACAGGAGTAGTTCAGGCTCGTCAAAACATTTGTAACTTTCGAAGGAATGGCAACATACATTGAATCCCCATAGCATTCCACTTCTATTCACGCTATCTCGCTGCCTGCAAGGATGTTCACTCAACCGCAACAGGATGCAATTGACTCACTTTTTATTTTACGACCATGATTCAAGGCAATCAGAGTGTGCACACCGCCTGAGGAAGACCGTAGGCACTAAGTTATGCTGTCGTGTAAGTCCGTAAAACTGAACCTTCCCCCAAACCCCTTCCTCTTTTAAAACTGACGGGCTATCGTGAGACACTCGTAACGTCTCATATAACCACAGGGAACCAAGCTTTCCATGACAGGATAATAGTTTCCTTCATTTTCTCTGCGATCTTGCTGTTCTCAAAAATGCGCAAATCGTTGGTTTATCCAGGCCAGCGTGTAACGATGGTAATTATGACTGCACCGCCATCATAGTAAGGTTGAACGTTGATAGAGTAAAACTGTTTTCTGTTTTTAAATGCCATGGTATTGTAGCTGTTTGGACATCCGATCCTAATATAGGTGCCAATAGATGCCCCCGCTCACACCTGGAAACTAAGGAACATCATGAGACCTTCATTTAGTGCCCCTTATGTCATCAGGAAAGACAGGAATTGTCCTTTCCGTCTCGAAACTGCCCTCGACATGTGTGAGTGATGGTACATGCAGAAAGCAGACACGCAAAAAGACCCAGTCGTATAGAATTTCAGAGCAAGAAAGACTTGCTGCATGATAGACAATGCCGAGTGGCAGACCTCTACTTATTTGGTGTTTGAGATCGTGCTCTAAATTTTTATTGAGATCTGCAACTGAGTCCTCTCTGAAGTGAAAGCGAATTCGAAAGTCTTCTTAATTCCTCTAAAGAGTTAATTTTTACTACAAGTTGCTGAATTTTCCTATATTAAATGATGACTTCTAGTGGCGTGGTCCCTTAACTGTCTGAAACAAAGTAATCCGTTCATTTTAAAGAGGCTGGGAATGAAAGTTCTCTACAGACAGCGTCTAGATCTACCCCAGGGCAGGTTTAAGTCGCGGCGAAACGTGACATAAGAACGGAAAATTTGGTTCGTGCAGACAAAGAGAGATTTTAATCGCAGCTTCTGAATTTGATGAATTTTGCAGCGGAAAATTTGTCAAACGCAGGAGTTTATTTAGCATTGGTTTTGTAGAACGCCTGAGTGTATGTTTATTGTTCTATGGAGTGGGATGGTCACCATCATTCTGGATTCCTCCTTGACGCGAGCAAAGTCACAAAGTGAGACCGAAAATACCTCGAGACTTTTGTAGAGTTCTTTCAGTCACTTTAATCTCTTCCCAGCAAGTTGTGATAAAAATAATTGATCCTCTAGTATTGAATAACATCATCTACATAAAGACTCGAGTCTCCACGAACGTACCGACCCAAACTTTGATTTTTCGTGTTATGACCACAGCCATTTCATAGTAATAATGGTCGGAAAGAAAGCTAAAGTTTCCAGACTAATAGCGCAATCTTACATGCTACGGGACCACTAATAGCAAGTTGGAAAACATGTTTTATTTCTACATCACTTTATCCACAAGTTAGCCATAGGTATTCTTTGATTGATTTTTTGCTCGCAAGGTTTAGTGTGTAACCTTTTGGAAATGTGACGGATTTGAAAATGGAATTGACTCTTTGCATACAACAACTTGTGGGTGTACCTGTGCAAGTATCTGCAAATCATCTTTTTACCATTTCCGTAATATCAGCTATATAAGAAAGTACTTGTCATCAACCACCACTGAAATACTTGTTCATGCATTTGTATCTTCAAAATTGGATTATTGTAATTCATTACTCTATGGACTACCGAACTACTAAGTAAAAAAGTTACAGCACGTCCAGAACGCCGCTGCTCGTCTCATCTCTCTTTCAAGAAAACATGAACACATTACGTCTGTTCTAATAAATCTTCACTGGCTTCCGATACATTGTCGTATTGTGTTTAAAATTCTACTCATCACTTACAAAGCTCTTAACAATCTTGCACCATCGTACATTCGTGATCTACTCACACCTTACGTTCCAGCTCATCAACTGCGTTCATCATCTAAAAATCTCCTTGTGATTCCTCATTTTAATTTGAAGATGCAAGATCTTTTTCTGTAGCTGCCCCCACACTTTGGAACACTTTGCCGTCCGATATCATGAACAGCTCCTCAGTGTCCGTTTTTCAAAACAAACTTGAAACTTCTCTTTTTAAAAAAGCGTTTCTCTAATTTTACAATTGTGTCACTCTTGTTAAGCGCTTTTGAACTTTGAGGAAACTAGCGCTATATAAATACTTTATTATTATTGTTATTATTATTATTATTATTATTATTATTATTATTATTATCTGAGATTACCAATTATCTATTCAAACTTTTAGAATTGTAAGGCCAAGTACATATTATAATACTGGAAACTGTTCAATCTTCTTTTATGGCTTCTGCATCAGCGATGATAATTATCATCAAGGACCACAAAAGTAACTACCTTACTTGTATTAAAATTCGCGTGGTACTCATTTTCGCTCAGTTTTAATTTCGCGCGATTTAATTTCGCGCGAATTAATTTTGCGCGATTTAATTTCGCGCGATTTAATTTCGCGCACCTTATAGAGGACTTATTCGCGCAGCTTTAAACTCGCGCAGGACACTTTTCTTGTTCGGTTTGTTTACTAGAGTTTAAAGATGCAGTTAACCTTTTTGTCATTACGCAATTAAAGAATAACACAGAATTCGCGTAAACCTAAAGCAAGTTTTTCACCGCCCGCTGCTGGCACATTTTTTCACGCAATTTTTTTGTGTTTGTTTGACTACAGAAGAATGTCGCATGGTTTGTTCAGTTAGGTGACATCAACAACAGCGACAACAACAATTTATTTGTATTCCATTTACACAGATGGTATTGCATATGATAACATTAACAATAATAGTAATTAGTGAAGAAAATACTGGTGTATTTTCTGGTGGAATATTACACGGAACCAGAAAGAATCCCGACAGAAATTTCTCAGGGAGGAAACTAGCGCTATATAAATACTTTATTATTATTATTATTAATATTACTCTGTTTTTTTTTTTTTTAGCTAGAGGCAAAATACCTTGTTGAAATTTTTTGCGAAATGAATATGGATGGGTTTGAAACAGCTGTTGGAGAAACCTTCACCAATCTTGCATTTGAAGCCATGGAAAAGATTATTAACGTGAGTCCAGACAATACATTTTTATTTTAACTAGATAGGGTACAGCATAAGTAGTCAGTGTAGAAAGCACCTCTTTTCCCACCTTCATAGTTACATATCTGTCTTTTCATATCATTGTATCATTCAGCTAATGACGGCAATGTTATTGCCGACTTCTAACAGCATTCTTTTGTTTATTTAGTCAGGAAAAAGAACAGGAGTCGACGAGCGTGTATTTTACATGATCGCGAATTCGTGTAATCAACGTAATACAAGGAACGAAAAAGCAGGAAAATACGGCGAGCTTTTGTCCATGTTGCTTACAAGCTCCTGGCCAAAGGAAAGACAAGAAGAAAGAGACACATCGTCTTTGGATCCTCGAACTGTTCAATTTCTTTTGACCTGGAAACCGATATCTGGATACCTGAGATTCTTTGGTAACCCAAAAACATATCTATCAAATTTATGTTTTCATATTTATTTTTACCTCGTCCCCGTATAGCCACCCTGAAGCATAGACCAAGCGTGAATTGTGCTTAATTCGATTGCATGACTTCAATGACAACCAAAGTGAATATTTTAATGTCGGCAAATCAACGTAACAAATGGAGATAGCAACGAGCCAATGAGAACTGAAAGTAATAATTTCTGAGTAACCAAGCATGAGGGCCATACTGATGAATATCGGCCCGATGTCGTGGCAGTACGGACCGACCGAGCGCAGCGATGTCCATCCAAGCAAGGGCGATAGGGTTTCATTAGACTGATAGTTAAGCTTTGGAGAAGAAAGCCACCCTATATCCAGGTTATTTTTCACACTCAACTGAAAATAACTAAATGTGCCATATCATAACTCTATGCATAATGCTGAAAAAGGATCCTGGGAACTCAAAATGTTTGCATAGGCTTGAGTGCGATACTTTCACTTTAAAGAATACGAATACATATAAGGATAATTAAGGATATACCAAAGAGTTCAGGAAAACCTATTAGTTGTAACAATGTTTTAAAATTAAGAGCCTAATAACAGGTATTACAGAACAAAAGAATAGACTAAAATGTGTGTTTTACCTGCTCGATCTTTAGTTCATAATATCTTGTAAGGTTTTGTAAATATTGTAATTGGTTGTTTACCTCTACAGGAGAGGAGTCCGGAAGAAGTCACATACTTTTGCCGGAAGGTCAAGAAACGTTGTGGTTGGCTAAATCATTACTGGACGCTCTTGTGGGAGACATATCTGATGGCTCCGTAACGGTCGAGGTCTTATCACTTGTGCAAAACCATGAAAAAGCGTTTTTGGACCTTTTGAAGACAACATCCGGAGTAGAGAAGAACGATGCTGAGTGTAGCTTGGCCAAACGGATCGAAGAACTTGAAGAATTCCGTGCCGTGATGGAAAATGTGGGAACATTCATTGGAATGTGTGAGGTGATCTCGCCAGGTGAGTTTTGGAGAAAATTTCTCCAACCTCGCCTTAACCATTCAAGTGTTGCCCCTATTAGAAAACCTTTTATGTAATGACCCAGGTAAAATGTTGATTTTAGAAGAGAACAACTGTTGTCGTCCTAGCGGATGTGATCATCCGTCTAGTGTTTTAAGTCTGAGTGTTGTAAACTTGTCGGTCAATTAACGGACTACTCTCACCTTGATCAGATTACACGATCAAATGTTTCTCCTGGGTTCATACCATTTACTGAAAAGAAACTATTATGGAAAATGAAAATGGTGATTACTCTTTGGAAAAAAATTCGCCTTTTCAAATATTCCATGATAGTTTCTTTCAGGTAATGGTTCGAGCTTAGGAGAAATATTTGATTTTAAAATCCTTACATCATTTTTGTCGCCATGTATTTTGTAACTCCCCAGCAAGTGCATTGTGTAAGTTTAATCCTTAGCTCCACTTCTGAAAAGGAATTTTATCAATTAGGATTAACTGCGAGATGAACCCTGCAAGGTAAGCAAAGGGCTCATACATTCTGTAGTTTTTCCAGATTCTTTAAAGAAGCATTTTATTTCCCTTTAAGTAAACAAGTGTAATCCATCCAAACTTCTTGTCCAAGACGTTTGTCTTAAGATGAATTCCAATAATTTCCAATAATAAAAAGAGGGTAAATTATGTTACTTTTTTTACATTTTGCTATACTCCCCTGAACAAATTTTGGTCAGCTTGTTTTGTGTAGTGGACCTTTTTAGTGAACTAAGTTTGATAACATTTATTTATTTCTAAAAGCTAAAAGTTTGGTAAGAGTGGAACAATATTTTGGCAAACTACTGCTGTTCTTCCATTACGAACGTAAATAGGACACAATTCATCTTCATCGTTTTCATCAGCACACTTTTATAAAGATTAGGGAGCCTCTGATATATGGCATGAATTTACGACTCTCACCTTTGAATACACGTTGCTTTTGTTGGTAGTTTCTTCAGCGAATCTCTGACATTTTAGCCAAAGTTAAACTCGTCAATACTATAAGAGCTTTACTTCGAAAGATTGAGATTGTCGCCTAATCGTAAAAGGTCATTTATGCCTTTTCTCCCTTATAAATGAAAAACCACGTCTTTAACCACCATCAAGATGGAACGGAGTGACGCTCACATGGGAGCCTGGTCACTTGGCAAGCCCAAGTATCCTAAAGGGTATTGGGTATAATCCAAATAAATGCCACCCAAGTCCCAGGCCCCCAAAAGAAATAAAAAGTACACAACGGGGAGAAGAAGCATAAAAATTCTATTTGCAAGCAAATATTTCCTTTATGCCTTTTCTCCCTTATAAATTATATGAACAACCCAAATATGCTGCCTTGCCTGAGCTATGTTTACTGGGAAAAATTATAACCAATCAACAATTGGAGTAAATGGCTATGGGCAAAATCCCATAGCCGCATTTATTTAAGAGGAAACTGTTTTAAGGGATAAAATTAATAAAATTCACCTCGAATGAAAAACCACGATGAAAAACCACGATGAAAAACCACGTCTTTAACCACCATCAAGATGGAACGGAGTGACGCTCACATGGGAGCCTGGTCACTTGGCAAGCACAAGTATCCTAAAGGGTATTGGGTATAATCCAAATAAATGCCACCCCAAGTCCCAGGCCCCCAAAAGAAATAAAAAGTACACAACGGGGAGAAGAAGCATAAAAATTCTATTTGCAAGCAAATATTTCCTTTAT